CCCCGACCTGACAACAGGTTGCGAGGTGGGGGGAGTAACTTGTCTTTCCTTCCTGCCATGGGACGAGACCTGGCTTCCGAGAGGGTTCTGAGTTCTGGAGGTCTCTCCTCGGCGGGGAGACGCTCGCTGCGACGGTGGGGCTGGGTCTGCTGCATAGCAGGGTGTCAAGGTGGAAGTTGCTGTTGATGCTAAGGCAGCGGTGGGAACTGTTGCTGGTACTGTTGTTGGTAGACGTGGTGGAGCATTTGCTGCTGGTACAACTGGAACTGGTGGACCTACTGCATTTGAGCTTGCACAGTTCGCATGCAGTGTACCAAGTTTTCTAGTTGGTTTTGTGCGGCCATTGGGAGAACTGACGGTATTGCAAAAGTCGCCTGTACCGGCGAAGGGAGTGGAGAATTTACTGGCGCCATGACCTGAGGCGTGCTCAGGGTAGGGACTCCGTCCGCGGAGAGGGGTACAGTGAACTGGCCAATGCAAACTATAGGGAGCTGAGATCGTTCCCTGGAGGTGTTTTGGTCAGCACTTCATCCGGCGTTACTGGAGGAAGCCATTGAAGTCTTACTGAAGTTGCTTGGTGAGAGGCTTTTTGAAGTGTTTCCCACAGATGGCGCCAAATGATGTAACGCGATCTGGTCACTCCTATCTAGCAGGGGCCTCTCTCCTAGATGGCAACGGACAGCACCTGAGAAAGAGAAGAAAACGAAAGATTCCCGGGGAGCTTGCCTGGCGGGAACACTCTGATGCTTAAGTTAGAACTCAGCGGAAAACTGAGAGAGTTACGAAGAAATAAATGCCAAGAGTGAAGATGCGCCATTTTCGATTACCTTGCCCCTTGGAAATCGGGGCCTTTATATACTAATGCTCTGTCAAATCGGGTGTAACCGCCTCTGATTCTCTACTACAGCCATTATTCGCCAGGCTGATTCGACTGGTGCAGGTAACCGTCACAGAGTACGGTCCCGTCAGTTGAGAGAGGTTACGCAGAGCTGCCGTGCACGACGCTGCCTGACGTGAGACGTGGGCGCAGTCCTCTGGACTAGCAGGTGCTATGCCGCCAGACAAGAGACGTGGGAGCAATCTGACAGGCACGGTCTTGTCGAATAAGAAGTTTCCCGAAAACTTCGAGTTACTCAATAGCGAGCTCCTTCGTAGCGGGCTCCTTTGTAGCAAGCTCCAATAGCGGCTGCCTTGCAGCAAGCCATTCTGTAGCGAACTGTAGCGAGCCGTCTTGTGGCGAGCTATTCATGCTGAGTTTTCAGCGAGCTCATTACGCCGAGTTGTGGCCAAACTGTCATGCTGAGCTGTCATTTACGTCAAGTCATGTCCACGTGTCCCCTGGTTAGGAGGTCGGGTCAAATCACCCTCCATCAATCCCAAAATAGGTATTTTATGAAAATGATTTTAACAATTTTTCCTCCAATATATGTCTTGAATTTGATAAAAATACCTTTATTTATAAGATTTTATTTTATGTTTTTCTATTTTAACTTATCCATTTTAATACTTTATCACATCTAAATTTCACCCTTCAAAGTCATTTCAAATTTATTTTTTAATACAAAAAAAAAAATTCCTTAAACCTCCTCCTAAAATAATGTATACCATTATAAAGTTGATACGTGCCTTGATTTTAGTGCAGATCATAAAAGTTATGTTTAATTTATATCTTTATCCTGTACTAAACATATATACATAACATATGCCCTTATACTAATATTATATAAATTAAATACTTATCTCGAAGTTTTATGCATATCATAGTGGTTAAATCCAAATGTCATATATCATATATATATATATATATAGGTAATACTTGCACTCACCTCTTACATTAGTTTTAATAAATATTAAAACCTCCACATCATTATCCTTGAACATCCCCTATAGATGATTTTACTGCTAAATGAGAGAAATATCAATGGTACCCTTACAGGATTTCGGATGTTTAAATCCAATACCTAAAATGCCCAACTTGTGGGTTTGCAGCTTGATTTTTGCCATGGCCAAAGGTTAGAAACGTACTCAATCTACCCCTCCCAAGACCCTAGATATATAGCTGGACTAACATTGGATTGGATGATGGCTTTATGATAGATCAAAACCATTAATATCGAGTCTCATCCTCTAAATACTACCTATAAAATTGGGCCCAATCCAAGGTTCACATGTAATCTAAAATTTTGATCTTTACTTTTACAAAATGTCAATAACGAACAAAAAAAAAATCATTGGATGGCATGTGGTTAATGGGATTAATTTCGGTGATCGATTTTCCAAGTTAAGAAAAATAATTTGCAAGTTCTCTTGACTTGAATTTTTGTGCTTATTTCCATTAGTTTCAATTTTAGATTTCGGTGTTCCATTTTATTCCCAGTGAAATTGCCAAAAATTAGAAAATAAAAGAAAGTCTTTCACCTATAACCTTCCATGTCGAATATGTTGTCCCTCTTGCCACAAGAGAAGCCGAAACAATTAATGTAGCAATGACAAAAGACTCAAAGTTCTATTTTGGATTTGCCAATCATCCATATCCATATGACATGGTCTGCAAGTTGCAATGCATTGCATTGAATGCCGAATGCTTGCCTCTCCAATTATTAGAATATTAGCTAAGGAAACTTCAGAGAGAAAAGGTCATCAATCTACACAATCCTACAAACAGTCATAACATACTTCTTAAGGTCTCATGGTCATGGTTGTTTCCTCGCCTAAGAGGCAACATTGAAGACTTTCCATCTTCACCAGTTGATTTCTACAGTCTATTAAATATTCTCAATGATAATAGTTTCATTGAAAATTATGGTACTTTGCAATAGACACATTAAGATCACCTCAGATAATTGTTTTCATTTCAAATTATTACAATAGCAGAAGAATTGTGCACAGGTGCTAGTTTAAGATGAAATATGTAGCTTATTCCAATTACAAAGAATGCTTTAGGTGCTTAATTTACTTACTCCGTGCACTCCTTGATTCCATTCCAATAAACACCTTAATACAGGCAGTGGAAGCTGCTACAACAAGTCTATACCCATTGGCCCATTGGCCTTCAACGTAGAATATGTTCAATGCTGGTAACCAATGGCACATCCCTAAACAACGTGGTGCTTGTCGCCCTAAGGACTTTTGACGAATTAGTTTGGTGACAAGCCAATACAAGATATTGTCCAAGGTTCTATCCTATCAGGTAAAAAAGGTTCTCCCCACAATTATCATCAAGAGACTTTCATCCAAGAGGGACAAATATCATATATATCAACTATTAATAGCTAATGAGTGTATGGACTTAGAAAATCAAGGGGAAAGGGCATTGTATGTAAGTTGGATCTAGAAAAATCTTATAATCTAATAGATTAGGGGTTTTTTATTGAGATCTTGAGGAAATGTGGGTTTAGTGAAAGATGGTGTAAGTGGGTAAAAGGGTGCTTACAATCTTGCCATTTCTCAGTGTTATTGAATGGGGTGGTCAAAGGCTTCTTTGGAGCTTTAAGAGGAGTTAGACAAGGCAACCCCTTATCTCCTTTTCTCTTTACTATCATAGTGAAGGTTTTTAGTAGATTGATATAGAAAGCAAATGAAGTGGGCCTAATAAAAGGGTGGAGAGTAGGAGGGGATGGGATAGTGATAACTCACTTACAGTTTGCAAATGATCATATTATACTCTTTTGTGAGAATGAGGGAGATGAAGGAGCTACTTTTGAGAGTGTAACAAATTTTAAGATTAATCTAAACAAAAGTGTAGTGACTGTGGTCAATTTAGACCAAGAAGTGATTGAAATGTGGGCAAGGGAATTGGGATGTTTAACAAGTGGCTGGCATTTGAAATATTTAGGACTTCCGCTAGGTGCAAACCCTAAATCCCTTGACTTTTGGGCTCCAATAGTGGAGAGATTTGAAAGGAAACTAGCAAGGAAGAAAAGAAATTGCATTTCATTAAGAGGGAAGATCACACTAATCAAATCTACTTTAGCAAACCTCCTTGTATATTACCTCTTGGTGTTTAACATGCCTTCAGTCATTGCTAAAAAATTAGCAAAGATAATGAGGAATTTTCTGTGAGAACTGGGAGAAGCCAAGAAAAATAATCTAATTAGATGGAAAATAGTGTGCAGGAGGAAGGAATGTGGTGGACTGAGATTAGAGAAACTAATTGAAAAGAACTTATCTCTATTAGGAAAATGGATGTAGAGAAATGCCAAAAATTCTTGTTGCTTCAGATAACATCTTTTTGTATGGCAACAAGAAATGATGTAAAAATCCCAGAAATTACTTTTGCTACAGATAATACCTTCTTCATTGATAATAAGAATTGATGCTAACATAATGAAAACGAAACTCTACTTTCTGGAGAGAAAAAACAAAAGCACAATGAGTGAGATAAGATGGACCAAAAAAGACGTGAAACTCTCTTTTATTTTGGGAAAATTCCCAATTAGTACCCTTCACTTTGAGTCTAATGCCACTTTAGTCCCCAAGCTTTAAAATGCGACAATTCAGTATCCAAACTTTCAAAACGTGACAATTCAATATCTATCGTTAACTAGCTATTAACCAACCGTTAAGTGGCATTTGAAAAAGACACAAATGCCCTTTGAGTGTCATCTAATTTTCTTTATCAACTATCCAAACATTGACAAAAAATTAACAGTCTCAAATCATTCTCTTCTATTCAAAAAGTTGGGGCCACCAGAATGTCCATACAAACATGACCCTAACTTGTTTGAATGAAACAGGTAAGGATTTGGGACTATTAATTTTTTTGCCAATGTTTGGGTGATTGATAAAAAAAATTAGATGACACTCAAAGAGCATTTGTCTTTTTTAAATGCCACTTAACGACTGGTTAACAGCTAGTTAACGGCAGGTACTAGATTATCATATAAAGTTTGGAGACCAAAATGGCACTAGACTCAAAGTACAGGATACTAATCAATAATTTTCCCTTTATTTTAACTATATAGTTATGCAACTGCTATGCACAACTAATGGATAAAATATAAGTTTGACATTATAAAATTAGATTTGACTTTTAAAACCAAGGTAAGTATCAGCTTTACAATAGTTTTAGATGCTCAAAATGATACAAGATCAAAATATTTACAAATTACAATTGCATCACCCCCCCCCCCTCAAAAAACAAAAACAAGGCAAAATAAAACAAAAAAAAAAACTACAAAACAAGAAGATAATAAAGCAAAAAGGTAAAGGAAGACGCAATACTCTTTCACTCCAAACACTGAAACACGTTTCAATCACGGAAGCCAGGGAGATCTTCCTTTTTATTAGCTATAAATAAACTCAGCCCTCTTTCTTCATCCTCATTTTCTAGAGATGAGGTATCAGTTTCTGAGTCACTCAAACAAATTACATCAATCTGTCGTTCTATAACCTCTTGACGCTTGCCTGCTTTGACAGGAGAAGGGCTTAAGAGATCAATGACTTCTGGTTTGTTGCTTTGTAATAGATCAATTACTTCTGGTTGGGTGCTGCCTGAGAGATCAATGACTTCTGGTAGGACGTTGCTCGTACACCCTTGGGGATAATAAACGATAGCATTACAGATATCATTTCTCCCTGGTTCTGCATCAAGCAACAAATTTTGCAGCTTTTGATCAATTTCACTCACAGCAGTGCTATTTCCTGCTTTCTTTGACCTTGGTTTATGGTTCTTTTTCTTCCCTAGGGCTCTTCTGTTCTCAAACTCCACTATCTTTTCAGGGCAAGCACTGGAAGATTAAAACAAGGAAAGATATTTTCATGCTTAAAGAATCAAATTCTATAATAAATCATGCGACCATAAAGAAACTTTTTGGTAAGAAAAAAAATGATTAGTAGAGGTTAGAAGAAACAGTTAGACACACTTCAATCGGAATTATCAACAAATATGAAGTAAAGCATTCTTTTAATAGATTAAAATCATAGCTGCCTCATCTGTATCACTAAAAAATAGAGAGGGTTTTAACAGCTAACAGAAAACAACATTTTCAAACTTCAATTACCTTTCTACAAGATCAGCAGGGACTATAGAAGTTTGTAGCCTATCCCGTTCTTCCCAGGTTACTTCGTAATAGTCTCTTCCCCGCATTCTTCTGTGCTTGATAATTGCAGAGATAGGGCAGATAACTGGTAACTGTGAAACCAAAAAAGAATATAAATCAATCTCTGTAAAAGCTAAGACTGATCCAAAATGGAACTTGTCCAGAAAGAAACCAAATCAACTTCAGAGTCGTTACAAATAGAAATTAAAATATTATAAGAAACGTTAAGGAAACTAAACCATAGCATGTTCATAAGATGGGTTTACACTATGTATGAAGTCATTGCCCAAGATTGATCATTTTCTAAGCAAAAAATAACTCAATTTGGACAAAGAAAATATGAATAAATATATCATGGCCCATATTAGAATAGGATTAGTGCTGCAAATCAATTGGATATTAATCTGATCCAATTTGAATCCAATTTGTTTATACTGGATCCGGATATCCAATTGATATTAACAAATTGAATTAGAAGCCTTATATATGATTCGATTATAAATTGGGTTGAATTCAGATAGAGCCTGATTTGATCCTTTATAATCCAATTCGATTCGATTAAATAAAATATATAATATTTATAATATATAATAAATAGCATAATAATTACATATAAGTATACAAATATTCCCTTCATAGAAATTTAAATGGCCATAAATTTTTGAAAGAATTTTTTATTAAATAAAGGGTATTTAAGTCTTAATGGTTAACATAAAAGACAAAAGCATTAAATGGATGTTGCCTATTCGATGACTTAATGGTTAACATAAAAGACAAAACATTAAAGGGTACTTGTGTCATATCAGCATGGCTCTCCTTTCTCCCCCACCATATATCTATTTTGTGGTTTTTTTGAATTTTTATTATTAAAATTGAACAAAATTACTCAAGTAGCCAATCAACTTTCATCTCTCCTCGTTAACTAACCATTAACTCATTAATCCATTCCATTAAAACTCTCCTCCAATAACTCACTCCACTTATTCCCTCTCCTCTCAATTACTCCATTAAATTGCTTAAAATTAATGTAATCTTAATTCATCAAAAATTAATAATTTATTTTTTTCCTTTTTTATTTTTTTTTTCCTTTTTCCTTTTTTATTTCATTCTCTCTCCTCTCCTCATTAATCTAATAAATCAAAAGCAATTTGCTTAGGGGCAATCATTTCAGTCTGACCCAGGCCCGGGTCCGCATCAGGCCCACAAATTTCAAGGCCGGCGTGGACTCAACCCAGCCTGTAAACAAATAATAGCTTAAAAATTAGTTAATAAAAAATCATAAAAAGTTAAATCACCTAAACATAATGAGATAATTCTAAGACATATGTCCCACCCCATCTATCATTAACCTATTTTAGCATAATTCTATAGTCCTCTTCCATTATTAGCCTATTATATTCCAAAGAGAGAATTTTACTCTCATCCAAATTCCATTTATTTCATATTCAAATCCTATTTGATTGGTTAATTGTCAAGAAACTGTAACTTGAAACCTAATAACAATAATTAATAAAAAATTATTAAAATTAATAAAAATATTAAATTTTAGTAAGTTTTTATCTAGCAACTATTAAAAATGAAGTAATTAATAAATTGTTCATAAATTAAAAATTAAAACACATTTGAATTCTATTTAAAAATAATTAATAGTAATAGGGTAATTAAAATTAAAAAATATTTAAAATAATATAGTAAACCATTTGCATTCCATATAAAAATTATAAGAATTAATAAAAATAATAAAACTAATAGTGGCCCAATTAGAAATGCCTTAAAACTAATAGTGGCCCAATTAGTTTGCCCAACCCAACTAGACCCATAAATTTCCGGGATCAAGCAACTATTTTCTTCTAACCTAGGTCTAGCTTAGATTTGTACCAAGCCCACACATAATGCAGGCAATAAGGCTATAAACGTATTGGATCTTTTGCATCCACATTCGATTATGAAATCTCTAGATTTGTATCTGCATCCGATTGTTATGTTGGATTTTGGATCGGATTCAAATTTAATCCACCCCATTGTATCATGTTTAAAATGACCAAAAAATTAAAAAAGTTTTTAAGAACTTAATTATTTTTAAAGTATATATGTATAATAGATGTATATAAATATAAAATATTAATTTTATCAATTATCAACTTTATATATTTATACATAATATATATACTTAATATATATATAATTATTTTTAAAGTATATATGTATAATAAATGTATATAAATATAAAATATTAATTTTATCAATTATCAACTTTATATAATTATACATAACATATATACACTTAATTATACTACATATATACATAAAATAATAATTTTTATTGCGCTTGGATTTAGTCAGATTGGATAGGGTTAAATCCGCATCTATAATTCAATTATTAATCGGATGCAAGTTCTAACATTCAAATCCAGGACAATCGAATTTAGAGTCGAATCCAATATCGGACTTTCGAAGTCCATTGATAGCCCTAGCGACTAAGGCCCAAGCTAAGCTAAGCAAACCCTAAGCTTGAGCTAGAACCTAGAAGTTATACACATATATATTTAGATAACAAGTTTTATATTAATACATAGACAAAAAAATTTATACATTTTTATAATAGACTAAAATTAAATAAAAATTTTAATTTGTAAAAAAAATCAAAGTTTTATAATTAACGTGGGCAAGCCTATCCTAGTTCCAGGCGTAGATAAATATTATTATGCTTAGGTTGTGGGCCAAGCTATAGGCCAGGTAACCTTAAAAACTCTTAATACAGTATCAAAATCTGACCCAAGATCCTTTTTTATTTTTTTGTTCATTAGGCTACACAATGGGGTAGCCCATACCCCGTAGTTGCTTCAACTTCAATATATATAATTTTCATCTAAAAAAATAGTTAAAAATCCAAAAATAATGCATGCATGGGTTGTATTCAGTTTGGTTGAATCTAATCACGAGTATCATAGCACTCTTATGGATGCAACTTAGGGGGGTGGGTTAGGTTGAGGATTAACCAAAGCCCAACCCAAAGTCTTAAACCTCAAGCTTCAGCTTACATTAATTTAATTACGACTAAAAATGTTAATCTATAGATTAATTTAGTTATAACTACAACCTAGTTTTATATATTAACTAATATTGAAGTATTTTAAATATTTAAGTAATATTTACAAAAAACAATTGTAACATTTATTCATTAATATAGTAAAATAAATAAAATAGAACACTAATAAATAATATGAAAAAATTTATTTTATTAAGTAATTAGTAGTAATTTATTATTTTTGTTAAAAAGTATTAATGTAATTAATCCAAATTACTAAATTAATTTTGTAACAAATTAATAAAATAAAAATTAATTATTTTAAACAATATTGCATTTCTTCCTTATAATAGTTATCAGCTTCTATAGTTCCACTTTCCCTTGATAAATCTCTCCTCACTCCTAATGAATTCTCCATTAACTTTCTCTTCTCTTTTTCATTAACTCTTTCAATTATCTCTTATTAATCATTCCATTAACTCTCCCTCCTCCAATAACTCACTCTACTAATTCTCTCTCCTCTCAATTACTCCATTAAATTACTTAAAAGTTATCGACTTTTTTTCCTTTTTTTTCTTTTTCTTTTTTATTTTTATTTTATTCTCTCTCCTCTCTTCATTAATCTAATAAATCAAAAGTAATTTGCTTAGGAGTGACCATTTCAGTCCAGCTCAGGCTCGAGCCCATATCAGGCCCGCAAATTTTAGGGCCAAGCATGGGCCTAATACTTCAAGGACAACACAGGCCAAGCCCAATCTGTAAACAAATAACAGTTTAAAATTTAGTTAATAAAAATATCATAAATGGTTAAATCACCTAAAAATAATGAGAGAGGATACTAAGACATAGGTCTCACCCTACCATCATTAACCTATTTTAGCATATTTCTATAGGCCTCTTCCATTATTAGTCTATTGTATACAAAAGACAGAGAGAGAATAGGCTAGGCAACCATGGGGCACCCAGGCACCTAGGCGACGGAATCTATAAATATGTTAATCTATGGATTTCTATACTTCGACCTAAACTATTTTATAAGTTTAGGAACTAGGAAGGGAGTAGGTTCGGCTGTTAAAAATAATAAGTGCAAGAAGAAGAAGAAGAAGAAGTGGCTGAGTTGCTGTAACTGCTCAAAAAAATGGGGCGGAGCCCCTGTTTTCTCAGCGGCACTGCCGCAGAAATATACATACCTGATATCTGTAGCCCCTGTTTTTTCAAAAAAAAAAAAAAAAAAGCATTGAATCTGGGCTGGAAGAAGAAGAAGAAGAAGGGAGGAGTATAGGGGCAGAGCCCCTATTTTTTTGAAGAAAAAAAGAACTGACGCTGGGAAGAAGAAGAAGAAGGGAGGTTTATAGGGGTGGAGCCCCTGTTTTTTCGAAAAAATAAAATAAAAAAAACACTGAAGCAGGATTTAGGTGCCCACCTTGTGTTTAGGCGCCCACCTAAGTCTCTGGGCGGTCGCCTAATATACAAAACTATAGGCGTTTGGGCGAGGCATAACTGGAAAACTGCCTAGTCGCCTTGACAACTATGCTCTCATCCAAATTCCATTTATTTGTTTCATATTCAAATTCTATTTAATCGGTTAATTATCAAAAATTATAATTTGAAACCTAGTAACTAAAATTAATAAAAAATTATAATTAACACGGGCAAGCCTGTCCTTGTCCTAAGACCAAACAAATATTATTACGCTTAGGGTGTGGGTCGGGTTGGGCCAAGTAACTTTAAAAACTGTTAATGCACTCAAAATCTTATTGAATTGAATTGAATTCAAACTGGGAAATTAATATTTGTCAGATTCGAAACAAATTAAAACTGGAATATTAACATCTATAGGATTCAAATCACCTATAATTCTGATATGTGCATATTCGAAATGAATCTTGAATTGATTCAGAATTTGCAGCCCCTAACAAGGACCTAGTAATTACAGAAAAAAAAATACCTCACAAAGTGGAAGCTGAACTCCAAGTTCTGATGAAGTTGCACGCAGGTTGGCAAAACGCCGCAAGTCTCTCTCGGCAATCTTAGGTAAGATATACTCATCTGGAATTATAAAAGGAAATCATGAATAAACTGAAGCAATAGCAAAGGGCAAAAGCCACTGCAACCAATATGTAAGAACATGAAATAAGTAAGCATTACAGGGGATCTTTCATTTTGTAGCTCATTTTAGAAAATTTTTGTATCCACCCTTCACCCAATACAACATTATTGTATATCTGGCTTCCAAAATGGATCACTTAACAACTGTAAAATTCCAAGGATTTTGGACAGTTAAGATCATTTCAGTTATTTGATGGTTGGATCATTGAGAGGACACTAGATAACAGCTGAAGTGGCTGAACTGGATGACTTATTGATTTTTCTTTTAGTGGATAAAATAGTTAAATAACAAAATACTTGGTGGTATAACAACAATAAAAACCGCAAATTTAGCAGTTGGAATATGTTTTCCAAGAGAGAAAAGATAGAAAAGAGGAAGTTTGGGGAAAACTGGAATAGGTTACTTGGCTGCCTATTCCCATATTTTATTCAATACAAAAAAGATAACACAATAACCATACATTGCCAACGGTAACCGATCCAACATTCCATCGAGCCATTAAGGAGCTTACAACCTACTTAATGACTCATTTGTTAAAAGGCAGAGCAACAAGTTATTTAGTTCAGCCCATAGTTTTCAAGGTGCCAAGGTGAGGCTAGGTGACAGGGGAGCACCTTGTCACCTAACCGCCTAGGCAGACACCTAGGTGCCACTTAGGCAATGGATTTTTTTAAGTAAAAAACATATATACTAGGGTAGTTCCCTAGGTTCCATAACCATACTTCCTTAATAATATCATGTTAAAGTATAAACTTATAAGAAAAGGTTATACTTTCCTCATAAGAAAAGTATAAACTTCATGTTCAAGTATAGAAAATCAACATATTCATGAAAAGAAAAAGAAGAAAGAAAAAAAATAAAAAAATATAGGCACTGAACCCCTATTTTTGTTATAGGAAAAGAAGAAAAGAAAAGGTTGAAGAAGAAAAAGAAGACAAAAATGTCTTGATTAGACAAAAGTTTAAGTTCTTCCTTGTTGGTTCAGGTTTTGAAGTCTGAGGGTTCAATACAGTATTTAGCAATGTCTGTGTTGATTAAACCCAAACAAATAAGAAAATAATAAAAACAAATTAGTATAAAAATAAATAAAATGAATATTTTAGTTTAATAATGTCTACTTTGTAATTATAATCTCAAAAAATTAAGAATTACAAAAATATTTTATAACAATATATACAAAACTGCTTGGTGATTAGGCGAGGCGAGCCTCCAAGGGAGCCTTGTCGCCTAGGTGTTGCCTTGACAACTATGGTTCAGCCACTTCAGCTGATATCAAACAGCCCCTGAGACTTTGGGATAGCCACCATTTATGGCAGAATGAGCTTTTATAGCATGGAACATTATATACTGCCTGTATAATAAGTACACATGCATCCATGTTCACTTACGCATACATATCCCTCATATAGATCTAAGATCCCATTTATGTGCATGCAAGTGCATATAAACAACTGAATCTGCTAGTTTGTAAGGGGAGGAAAATACACCTGTTTTCTCAGGAGTCCAGCAAAAGAATTGGGCACATATCTCATGGAGCTTAAAGCGCTGAAATGGATATTGACCAAGAACCCTACAGATAAAGACAAACCTTCCTTTATATTTTGTATCTACTAATAGGTAAGTTAGATATGCAACCAGGTGTAAATCCAATTCAAGCCTATTTCCTGAAACCTCATTTACTCCCCCCCCCCCTTCTGCTTTACTTTAAAAGTACAAAATTACTTCACCTATGAACAGCCTCTGAATCTGCTGAGTGGCATTTTGGTTTTAGATATGCATCAATCACTTGCAAGAACTGATTATCCCATTGTTGGTTTTTCTCACTTGCTACAATATTACCAAGCATTCATAAAAGAGTTAGCTGGATCATGATCATCATTTCAAATAACGAAGTAGCTGATGACAAATAAATACAGAAAGCTACATTTTCCTAACATTGGTCGATACATTACTGCAAACAATGGGATAACAATTTTATACATAACACAAATACACAAAACAATCCAGCAAGCCCCATTGATGGGAACCAGCTAACCCAAACCATTTGATAAGACAGCCAATTATTATACAGCTGTTGCTACTGCTACTGTTATTATAAAGTTGTCAATGGCTTGGCTCTACCAAATATAACCGAACCGACCTAATCGATTATGTCATTTCTGGTTCTGTGGTTTGCGTCCCAACTAATAATTAGGTTGATACCAGTTCTTACTGTTCTAAATCAATTAAGACCCAAACTAATTACATAGTAATATATAAAGGTCTCCTGGTTTTCTTGTAATTTTTGTTATATTTTATGTCTAGAATGGTATTTTTTTATCAGTAAGCATGAATTTATTTAAATTTCAGATTGGGAATAGTTTACACAACTTGGTAATGGGATTGATGATCCCATTTAATCTTTCTTTTATGTCCCTCATTACAAAGCATCCCAAAATAGTTGTTGTCTCAATGCCCCTTGTTTTGCTAGATAATCAACTAAACCATTTGCACTCCTTCGGACCCACTTAAATTCAGCCTCAACCTCCTTTGCAATCTTTTCCACTTCCCTAATTGCATGTTCAAACGTCCACGGGGTATGGCTACTGTTTGCAGCCCAGGAAATTATCACTTTTGAGTCCCCTTCAACTTCAATATGCCTGCATCCTATCTGTTTAGCTAGCTTCAGACCTTGTAGTAATGCCAAAAGTTCAGCCTTCAGTGAATTCCCCATACCAATCGGTCCTGAGAATATAGCTACTATCCTCCTTTCAGAATTTCTGATTACTCCTCCTATACCTGAAATTCCCGGATTTCCAAGGGAGCTCCCATCAAAATTCAGTTTCACTTTATTGCCTTCTAGTGGTTTCACTCCAGCCCTACTTTATCTCTCACTCTCGAGGACTGTGCTACTTCAGACCAGGTTCTTAGAATGTCTGTGATTGAGAAGACTTGAAAGCTGTCCAAGGATTTTACCCAATGAGCTACTTTCACCTTGATGCTGTCAATCACTTCCCCTACTGCTCTGTTTTTTTTCCAAGAAGATCCTCTTATTCCTTTCTTCCCTTACTACCCAGCATAGTGCTGCCTTTGTTGCTTTCCACATTACCATCCCTCCTTTCTTCCGTTTTCCTAAGAAGTCACGGTTGAAAAGTCCTGCCACATCTTGAGGGGAACCCACCTACAGCCAAAGAGAGTACAAAAGAAACCCCAAATTCGAAGCACAAAAGAACAGGATATCATTAAAGAGTCTCGCCACTTTCCTTACACAAAGAACACACACAAGGAGAAAGGCAAGTGTAAGGCCTTCTTCTTTGCAGCATATCACAAGTGTTTACCTTTCCAAGAAAAATTTCCCAACAAAACGCTTGAATTTTTGGGGGGATAGGCTTGCACCAAATTTCTTTAACGGGGAAATCCCCAGCTAGAGAGTTAGGGGATGCAAGTACTTTGAAGAACAAAGAGCAAGAGAAGAGGCCATCTGAAGAGCCTACCCGAATCCTAGAATCTTTCAGCAACAAGTCCAAGTGGATTTGCCATAAAAGGTCCAACAAACGAAATAAAGACTCACACTCATTTTCCCTTAGTCCCCTTCTGAAGCCCAAGTTCCAGTTCACACCATTTGGACACGGTGTTCCCAAATTGGAAACAACTTCCTCCTTGAGGTTTGAGAGCGCAAAGAGATCAGGAAATTGGTCTTTAAGTGGGGTTTCCCCTACCTAAAGAAGAAAGATCTTCCCAAAAACGAACTTTAGTACCTTGACCCACATCAAATCGTGGAATTGAGGAAAATAGGGTAGATTTCATGAATTGCTTTCCACGAAGAAGTTGTAGTACTGTGAGGGGCAACTTTTGCATCCCAACCGTTTCCAAAGCCCAAACTTTCTAGTGTTTTTAGGAGGACTTCCCAATTGACCAAGTCATAGGCTTTTCCTAGATCTACTTTACAAACCAACCCCTTATCTCTATCCTTTCTTTTTTCAACGACGCATTCATTGGCCACCAGGATTTGATCCTCAATCTGCCTTCCTTCCACAAAAGCACCTTGGAAAGGAGAAATGATCAAAGGTTACACCTTTTTTAGTCTTTCCGATAAGACCTTTGAAATAATTTTATAAACACTCCCAATAAGGCTTATTGGTCTAAAATCTTGAGGAGTTTTGGCCTCCCTCTTCTTTTGGATCAAAGTGATAAACGTGGCATTTACTCCTGGTGAAACCTCCTCTTTGGAAAAGAACTTGTTAAAGACTTCCAAGATGTCTGATTTCAGCATATCCCAATACTCTTGGTAGAAGGCCATTGAGAACCCATCCGGCCAAGGGCTTTAGACCTATCCATTGAAAAAACTGCTACCTTGATTTCATCCATGGAGAACCTCCTTTCTAGAAAGAGAGATTGCTCTTCTAAAAGCACATCCCCTTCCAGCTCTGGCAAGTCTGACACCACTCCATTTGATCTTGAGAAGATTTCCTTAAAGTGATTAACAAAAATCCTTGTCATCTCTTGACTCTCTTACCACTTGACCCTCCACACTGAAGATTAAATTCTTCTTTCCCCTACCGTTTGCAAGAGAGTGAAAAAACTTAGTGTTACCATCCCCCTCTATCAACCACTAACACCTTGACTTCTGCTTCTAGCAAATATCTTCCTTTCGTAAAATCTCTTCTAGATTTTGCTTTTGATTCCATCTTTCCCCTCTTTCTTCTTCTGAAATAATTCTAAGGGCCTCTTTCCTATCAAGAACCTCAATCCTCCCCACCAACTTCTCTTTTACTTCTTCTAACCTTCCAAAATGGGCTTTATTCCATTCTTTTAATTTTTTTTTCTTTTAGCCTCTTTAGTTTCCTGGCAAAGCCTTGCATTTTCAACCTCCCCAAAGGTCTAAGTTCCTCCCACCATTCCTTCAACCTGATCTTAAATGTGGAGTCTTCAAACCACATATTCTCAAACCTGAACGGAGAGGGACCTCCCCCTGAGATTTCTTTCTCAATGCAAATAGGACGCCTAAAATGGTAAATTTCATAAACAGTACATAAAAAAATTTGGTTAAAAAACACTTTTTTTATCAGCATATAAAGAGTTTAGTATGTACTGTCATTTTATTAAGGTTTGGTTCTGGGTCTACTCATAAAACCAATTAATAATCTATTTGAAACTGGTCCACCCTGCCCCAAACCAAAACCAGCCCATTGACAGCCTATGTTGTTGTTGTTAAAGAATAACATCACATTTAATCTTGTGAGAAATTAATCTTTGACAAAAGAAAAAAGGATTTCAGAAAAACCTTACTTAAGAACTCGTTTTAAACCCTATGTTGTTAATTCCAATATCTGCCTCGTCTGAATGATGGTCCCTTCATTAATTATCAAAAAAAATGATAGTCCTTCATTTAAAGGATTCCTGAGATAGAAAAATATATCTCAATATTTTTGCCTTGAAATGCATGAATAGGAGCGTGTTACCTGAATATAATCTTCTTAATCATATACCTTATCTGCTAAACCCGTAGACCATAGTAATATATTATATTGTTTCTGTTTGTGTAAATAAAATCCATCAACAGCCTTTGAAAAGATGTGAAAAAGATAACTTGGGAGGTGTGCATAACCTAGATTGTTGGTGTTGTTATAATTAACCATAAATCAAATGTTGAAAACGAAGTTTACTATATTTTTGGGTCGTTAGTATAATGTTTAAATTTTAAACAGTTTACTTAATCCCATACAGGACTCAACATACAAGGCTACAACCTTCATGTTAGTAAAACAAAGCTCTAACCAATTGAGCTAAAAGAAATTTTTGAAATATTTTATTTCTTTCGGAATTTAGATTTGCACATTCTTGTATATTAATTTTTCTTTTGAATCTTTTACCAAAAGTGGTCTCACTTTGTTCAAGTATTCACCTTGCCTTGCGTCTTGCACCTCAGGCTTTAAGAACCCATTGGACTTTAATTGTTCTTCTTGCTTCTAAGACACTCCTCTAGTGAACTTCCTATATTGCATAGTTTAGCATAGATTATCGTCGTGGTAACACCATTACTTTCAAAACTTCTTTTAAGCAATAAATGCATATCTATTTAATACAACTTTGTGTATCTTAAAAGTGCATTAAACTTTCAAACATATTTTAATGTCAATATGGTGCTATATATCTCAATTCATGTTTATGGAAGTGCTATTATAACAAGAATTTCCATATTCCTACACACCAAGAAGAGTTCATGCAAATCCTTATAGTTAACAAGCATCAGATCAATAGAACCCATTAGAATTAAAATAAAAAGAAAAAGTAAAGGTTAAACTATTTTTGCTTCTTGAGTAATGAATTCATTCCATAAATTGCTTTGATGATCTAATAATGCAGGACCTATGATACCCAGGTTCCTGTACAAGGATGCCAATATTGTATTAGATGCTTCAATTTTTAGTGCAAATCCCATACCTGATACTGTATCCAGCTGTGTCCATTCTGTAGAAAACACTGATGTGGGCCCCACTGCAGTGGTCCCCACTGTGTTCGTAGGACAGCA